ACGATTGGCTCACGAAGGAGGACGCGTACCACCTCAAGACGCTCATGCTGTCGGACGACGCGGGTCTGCAAAAGTGCGCGCTCGAAACGATCCACACGATGCAGGAAGCTTGGGAGGTCGAGAGCGAGGGCGGCTGTCTCATCACGTCGGCCTTCTCGCCCGTCGAATCGCCCGACGTCGACGACGAATGCCAGGTGGAAGCGAACAACGCGCCACGCTACGACGAGCGTGAGTGCTTGGACGTCATGTGCTCACTGCTGTCGGCGGCGGGCGTGCGAAGGCTTCTGCTGGAGCATGGCGTCGACGTTCCGGACCAGGCATCGTTTACCCACCGCGACCTGCACGGCCTCGCGCTCACGTATTTGGCCGACGAGCCGCTGTAGAGTGTAGTATCCTATCATATATGCCAGTCCCACCCTGTTGCCTCATCGCTGCTGCGGCCTGTGTTAGCCTCGAGTAAAGTGGACGAGGGGTAGGGTAGACGGGGGGTGGGGTTATGGCGGAGGAGGTTTTATTTGGAAATATATGATCGACACGAGCAAACACTGATAACAAAGCGTTAGTCGTAGCTCGTAGAATTCTTGAGACTGGTATCGCCTGGTGGTGTAGCCGCTGTGGCAGTACTCTGTGACAGCTACAGTTGTACCCAGAAAACGTGTCGACGTTCGAGTCGGTAAGAAGCCACCGAACTGCTGGAGCCAACAGGTTAAATATTGGACGTGAGGTGAAATGCGTTTAACCGGCGTGGACGAGTTGAACGAGAGTTTCTCCTGCATTAAGCATCCAACGGCGACGCGACGCGGCTTTTAGAGCTCTCCAGAGCAGTCTCTACCCACCTGCAACGTATGAGCGATTTCACTTGAAATGTTACTTTTATGCGGTGAGGCCGTCGGGATCGCCGCCGCCGAGCTCGGATCGTGGATGGCGGCTTGTGATAGGACATAAAGGGCAGGAAATCAGACCAATCAAAACGTCTATTTCAGATTGAGCATAAATAGATAAACAGAGCTCTGGAGGTCGAGCCATCGTCAGAGCGATGGGCTGCGTGATCGTCTCGCGACCACCTTTGTACGCTAAAGTCAAATGCGCGGCGAGCCACGCCATACCGGTCCTCCTGGCTAGACAGGTGCGAGTTATCCGGATGATGGCGGTAGTGGCATCGTATCCGGATGTTTGGTCACAACAAAACGATGGCGTCGAGGAACGAGACGGAAGGCCAGGCCAAGCAGCGCCACAAGCTCGAAGCGCGGGTGCGCGCCCATGGACGTATGGCCAAGCATCACGCTCGGGCGGTGTAGGAGTGGCAGAACCAGACCAAGCTGCTCCAGAAGAAGTGGAAGAAGGAGAAGAAGTCCAAGAAGGACATTGAAGACGAGCTTGTCCGCCTCGAGCAAGAGATGAAGGAACGCCATGCCGCCGAGCTTCTCGCCTTTGTACGTGCATGCATCTCTTCTGCAGTGATATGTATCACGATATGCTTTCTAGGCCAAGGACGACGATGAGACGGTGATCGACGATGCAGCGCCACCGGCCACCGACGCGCCGCCGGCATCTACCAACGCCAAGCTCGAGAAGGCGCAGCGCAAGCGCGTACGACCTGTCCATCTAGCGTACTCGCGTAAAACTGCGGCAATTACAGGAGAAGAAGAAGCAGGAGGAGAAGGACCGGCAGCTGCGCATCGACGAAGAGTCCAAGAACGTCGTGAGCGAGCGCAAGATCGAGCTCGACCAGATTGCGCTGCAGCTGCAGTCGCTAACCATGACGATCCACGAGATTCCGTCGGACGGTCATTGCTTGTACCACGCGATTGCCGACCAGTTGCGACGCATCGGGCAGCTGCCGTCCACGGGCGCTCTTGTAGGTTCATATTTGACTTGGAACGATGCATCATGCGGCCTGTAGCCGCCGCACCTGTACCTGCGCCAGCTCACGGCAGCGTCGCTCCGTGCCAACGCTGATGACTTTATGCCGTTTGTGGAACTCAACTACGAGTCGGACGAGTCGCTCCAAGGTCCGACGCGTGTCAGTTGTAGATTCCAGATCTTAGCGTGCATGTCTAGACCAATACGCAGCCTACTGCCACCGCGTCGAGCACTCGTCCGACTGGGGCGGGCAGATCGAGCTGCGGGCGCTCGCACAGAGCCTCCAGCGTCCGATCCATGTCTACGCGGCGGGCTCGGAGGTCCTCGTCATGGGCGACGACTTTAGCGCTGCCCACACGGCGCCGCTGCGTGTCTCGTGCGTCCTCGAACCCGCGTCCGCGCTCATGCTCTGTGTAGGTACCATTTGCATTACTATACGCTCGGCGCCCATTACAACTCGGTCGTGGCCGCAACCACCACCGACGACGACGACGACGAGCATCTGTAGACGCTGGAGCACGAGCACGGGTGGCGCTGCAAACACCTCGGTGGCATCGAATCAATATGTACATCGAATACAACGCTAGGTCGACTTGTTCTTGTGGGCCTTCTTGGGCTTGTTGTTGCCGCCCTTCTTGGCGGTGCTCAGACCCGGCGCCGAGACTTTGACGGGCCCCACCATGCAGCCGACGAGGTCGGCTTCCGGCACGCACTTGATGAGCTCCTTCTGCGCTTCGATCGGGTCCACGTCGGGCGTCACCTCGTCGGTGGTTGCGTCTTCGCCAACAGGCGTCACCTTGATCGCGGACGAGATCTTGGGTTTGAGGTTGAGAAAGTGGTCGACCGCAAACTGGACGGCCTTGCCCTTCTTCTGCGACCCCGGCGTGAGCTTGACCTTGTACGTGTACAGCGCGAGCGTCGAGTACGGCGCGCAGACGGGCATCGCAAACAAAAGCAGATCGTTGGGCAGCGGCGTGCCTGTGAACGAGTCGAGGAACGCGGCGTTCTGCGCTTCCTCCTCTTCCTGCTCCTGCAGCTGCGCCTTGCGCTCACGGTGCAGCGCGTAGATGGCTTCCTTTTCGTCGTCGACCACGCTCGTGCCGGCTTCGCTCGGCGTCGCGTCTTCGGTCTCGTCGTTGGCCGGCGTCTCGTCCTCCTACACACCGTGTTTAGGATGATCGACACGAAGCGAATTGGATACCTTGTCGTTCTCGCCCGCCTCGGTGAGCTCCGCGACCTTGACGTGGCCGAGGGCGGCGAGGCGCAGGAGCCGCTCGTCCTCGTCTTGGTCGGCGTACTTTTTCATCTTCTTGAGCTTGCCCTTCTTGCCGCGAACCGGCGGTGCCGGCGCAGCGCCCTTGGGCTTCTTCTCAGTCGGCGCCGGCGGCGGCGACGCCTTGACCTCGGCAGCGTCGTCCTCGTCCTTCTTGTTGCGCGCTTTTTTGAGGTCACGG